TAATTTTACTTTATATCATAAAAGGTTGTTGATGTTTACTGCATGCCTTTAATGATATAAAGTAAAATTATTTATAGTTAGAGTTATAATAAAAATAACATCGTTTATAAATATTAATATTTAATATTATTTAATATTTATATATTTTTTATTCATTTTATTTTGTGAGGCAAAAATCATGAAAATAACATGTTGTTGATGTTTACAAAATGCCTTGAATGACACATAGTAAAAATTATTAAAGGTTGCTTAAATAAAAATTATTCTTTCTAAATATATAAATTAAAAATAAATATAAATTTTTATTATAATTTAATATATTACTATTTATTATTTAAATGTATTTAAAACAAAAGTTTTGTACAATGACTCACTTTGTGCATATTAACAGGATTTCCGTGAGAAGAACACGGATCACATGCGTCCGGATATCGTGGCTCTCTTGCGGAGCAGCGACCGAGCTTACGTCCGGCAGCTGATCGGGATGGACCCGGTGGCGATGTTCCGGTGGGGAATCTTGCGCGCCACCGTCCGCGCTTTGGCCGCCTTCAACGAGGCCGGCCGCCGCTGGGCAGCCAAGACTGCGGGTAACCCATGCAGCTTTAAGCATTAGTTTCCAGATTAGCCCAAAACTTTGGATTTTCATGGTCTAAGAAGGTGTTATTTATAGCCTGCACATGAGAAAGCTGCCCGGTGACGCAAACAGTCATATTTAGAAGGATTTCAGAATGATTAGGCTAAGAAGGGATCATAAAAATAAGGGTGTAAGATTGTTTGCGAGGCGTTTTGGGTGGGGTGTCGCCCGGGATGTTGAAATCACGCCGTCAATGCTGTTTGTGTTTGTGTGTTTGGATGTACAGGTGTGGTCAGACCAAACTCCAGAGTTCCTCTAGGAGAGCTACAGAGATCCAACATGCCCATTGAGAGGATGTACCGGTAAGCTTTGTTAGAAGGATTTCAGAATGATTAGGCTAAGAAGGGATCATAAAAATAAGGGTGTAAGATTGTTTGCGAGGCGTTTTGGGTGGGGTGTCGCCCGGGATGTTGAAATCACGCCGTCAATGCTGTTTGTGTTTGTGTGTTTGGATGTACAGGTGTGGTCAGACCAAACTCCAGAGTTCCTCTAGGAGAGCTACAGAGATCCAACATGCCCATTGAGAGGATGTACCGGTAAGCTTTGGACTCAGGCTACTGTGGCTAGAAAAGAGAGAGAGAGAGAGAGAGAGAGTGGAAGTATTATGAGGAACTTGATCTCTTCCTGTCCTTTCGTTGCCTTTGTGTGGCAGGTGATCATGTGACCATGCTCTCTCCACAAAGGCACATTGCAGGCCGATTCTCACAGTAATCTCATGCTCTAAGTCCCATTTATGCAAATACCAAATATATAATGAAAACATGTCCAGGTCACATTTCATCTCAAAATCCAAAGAAGAAAATAGGAAAATATATTTTGCATGGAGAAAATTAAACAAAGCTTTAAAGCTTTTTCTGAAAAAGTAGACAAATGCACAAAAAATAAACATTTTATTTAAATACTGCTATATTAATCATTTTATGCGAATCACAATCAGGTAACGTCAAAGAACAAATGCAATTTAAATTATATTATTTTTCTCACATTTCAGTAATGAAAACTGGGTGGGATGTGCTTAGTTGCCACTAAAGTATCATAATGCCAACGTTTTATATTCTGTATAATTTTATGCAAAATGTAATTTCTTACTTTTTCATTTCATTTTACGCTGAAATATGTCCCCGGACATGTTCCTGACAGATATTGTGTGGAAATTATCAAGTTAATAAATGTACTTGTTCCTGCAGTGTCCCTTTGTGTTTTCTCTGGTGTTTGTCAAGGGTTTCCCCTCAGTTACTGACCTCTGATCAGTTTCACTAAAGTTTAACCCGTACGGTCAATAAAGCTGGTCATAGATCAGCACCTGCTGGTGGCGTTCGCCCTCGAGTGACTGTGTGTGTGGTGTTTATTTTCTACAGCCACGCTCCTATGCTTGATTTCTCCTTTGATCATTCAGAGGAGCGCCCTCTAGAGGCTTTTGAGGACATCTTTTCTAGTTATGAGAGTAAGAAGTAAGTGGACTTGAGCAGAACATTGAGGTCAGACAGGGAGAGCTTGGCGGCTTGGGAAGGCTGGGTTTCTGGTATTCTGAGCAAACTCAAATACCCGATTCAGATGTTCGCAGAATCCAGAAGCTAGCGCTTTTCTCTCTTTATGTGATCAAAGGGCAAGCCAGAGTTTGCATTTAACCTGGTTTGTTCAAGGAAATCCACAATCCACAACATACACTCATAAATCCCAGTCGGGACTTTGTGAGGTTTATTACCTCGAAGTACTCCCAAGTGGGAAGGAAACCATAAAGCGTCCTTTATTAAGGAAGTGAGTTCACTTCCTGGTTGGTTGACGCACTATTAGCAGTGCGTCCCCAGCCCCCAGTGCCAATCCTACCTGTTTGACCTCCTGTTCTGATCCGAGTGGTAAGTGAACCAGTGCATGAGTCCAGGTCTTTGCTGAGTGGGGTGCCTACCCCCGTTTTAACACCCCGTCAGGTCAAAACAGCATGGGTTCACCACTGAAGCTTGAAGGAATAGTTCACCAAATTAAGGGCCTGTTTGAATTTAACACACTTGCCTGCATTTGTTCATTGTACGTGATTCCTTTTTGTGGTGGAGGGTGTATCCTTTCACGAAAGTCGGTTAACAACATTGGTGTTGGGTTCCTGTACTTTCCCTTCCCTGTTCAACTCACCTCACCTCACTCCCTCTGTCTCCTCCCCCTACCTTTTCACCGGGCTGAATCAGGGAGATGCATGTCCAAATCATCAACTCCATTAAGGACTTGCAGTTGGATGGGGAAGATCCACGTAAGCTGCTGCAGTCCTGGGGTCGCCTGCGGTTCCCGCGCCACGTCCTCCAGTGAGTTTGACCGCTGACTCCCCTCTGGCTCGGAATGGATGGGTCCACCTTGCTGACCCTTCATGCCTTGACATCATCGGTTGGCATCGAAGCCAATGCTTGAGGCCCTTTGCTAAGCTTTGTTCTGAAACGTTCCCTACTTGCAAACTTTCCCAAATATGCACCGTTACTTATCGGCTCGCCTTGTGATTTACTGTTTAACCGCCCTAACCCTGCACTAATAACATCCAAATATGCTAATTATTTTTAGATGGCTCCCTAGTGGTATATGTTAGAGGAATGCAGAGTTTATGAGCCGAAAGCAGTGTGATCTTCATTAGCACTCGAGCTCGGAATGGTATCCACATGCTACCATGCTGCATGAACTTATATGAAACCCACCCATTGAGTCTGTAATGTTTTATGAGCTGTGGAAAGCTTCAGAAACGTTGCTTATGTAGACCACAGACATTGAATACACTTGAATCATAAGCTTGTCCTCTAAATTAGGAATGCCATAGATTAGTTGTGTATTAATAAAAATGTCCATCATTACTCCCTCCCACGATGTTATCTCCTCCAAAACCCTGATCTCTTTTATGGTGTATACATGCTAGATTTAACCCCAGAGAACACTGCGAATCCATGGATTTCAATAGGGATGTTAAACGAATGTGGACCCGGCTTTTTCTACACCATTGCGTAAACAAATCTTGTGCGTTCTTCGTAAAATGCTTCTCAAGTGCGTAGGTTCGCTCACGTTGTACAAGCCAATGCATGACTCACTCTACTAACACATAATATCCCATGGCTTCTTATCTCAACAAACCATCAACCCTCCTCTTCCTCCTTCCCTACAGGAAAAACAAGAACCCCAAGACCAAGCAACTCATTCCTAAGGTAAAGCTCTCGCTTGCTGAAATTATCTAACTGCATATTTAAATGAATTCTGTCTAGGTGTTTGACTTTCAAGATGCTGCAAGTGGCTTCTGCTTGTTTTGTAACTTCCACTGGTATTGGTAGTGTCAGCTTATGTTAAGGGGGACATAACACACACAGTTTCGCCCAATCTTATTTTAATCTTGAGTACCTATGGAGTAGTATTGCATCCTTCACATATCCAAAGAGTCTTTAGTTTTATCAGATTTATAAAAGAAAGATACAGCTTTACGATTCTCTCCAAAAACAGTCGAGCTCCTGGAGGCGTGCCATGGGCGGAGTTAAAGAGTCACGAGCACTTGCGCGCCGATTGCAAACAAAACACAGAAATTTTATGCAGTTTTACTTAACGCTGCGGTTCCGAATCATGACTGGGATCTTTTATCGCATGGACTGCTCCATCTTTCAATATCAAACAATGTGCAAATCCATCGTTGAACTGGGCCTTGTTTATAAAACTTTCATAACCAAAATGACGGGAACAAACACATTTGCGAAACTCCGTTGCTGCCCCGGAAAAACAAACTGTATCCATGTTTCACGTAACGCTGGGTTCTTTGGGAGCTGAACGAGGTTACCTCACAACCAAAAACACACTTCTTTGGAGACATTCTTCTCGAGCAAGTCCTGTGCAGCGCTGCCGACGACATTGATGGGCGTGCTCTTACTCTCGCTCTGGGGTGCGTTTCCCAAAAACAACTATGGTCGCAAGTTCCGTCCTTACCAATAGAGTTCAATGGAACTAATGACCATAGTTAGCCAATGTTGCTTTTGGGAAACGCACCCCAGGTTGACATGTGCGTGCACACGCTCTTCCGGGAGAACTGCCCATATAAGGAATTCCGCCTTTCATGGCGTCATGAAGAGCCATGCTCCAAAACACTTTCCGAAACTTGTACGAACCTGCAGGGAGTGTATTTGGCACAGAAATACTCCGTCATACATCCGAATCATTTTTTTGAAACTTTTGGTCATGTTTACCATGAGAACTCTTTAACAGTGTAAATAACTGAAAGCCATAGCCTACTCTGCAAACTTTATAAAACTCAAAGATTGTTAATAGTAATTAATCATTATTATGTACTGCTTAGAAACTGTTCAATTGTAGGCTGTTTAAGGTTTCAGCACAAAATTTCAGCTTGGTTTGTAAATATAGGATTGGCACCATAAAAGCATGTAACCAGTATTAATCTGAACAATTGAAAAGAATCACTTACAGCACCTTTAACTTGTTAGCATTTTCAGCACAGCTGGTACATTTCCATCACCATTGGTGAAAGTGTAAAGTTTAGCCACGATTGTTTATGACTTTCCGTTACATGTGCGGTGCTGGGTAAATGTTTTGAAGACTCTACTGCTGTAGCTTAGGCTGGAATTAGATTTTCCATGTCGTCATGCATCCATGGCATTCATGTGGCAAAATAAAGTTTCTTTGTGTGAGAGATTGACTTTCTGTTTTTGTGTGTTTGGGTAGAACCTGTTGGACTCTCGTTCGCTGAAGTTTGTAGTGGGCCTCCATGACCGCACCACCAAGTCTTTACTTCATCTGCACAAGAAGAAACGTCCTCCCAGCATCAGTGCCCAGTTTCAAGTAAAAAAAAAAAAAGCTATATTAGATTAGCATGGCTGTTCATGCCAATTTGGTGATTCTGATTAAAAACAAATGCAATGTCCCAGAACCTAGTGGAGGCATTGTAAGGCATCATAATCACTAATTTCATATATTTCATCAAGTATATTTAATTTAGTGCTTAAAATTATTGATACAATAGTTCAGTCTAAATAGAAAATATTATTTTAGCCAATATTTGTTTGCAGTGCATTTTTACATTTAGAGTTACATGCTGTTAGCTTGGCGACATGCTAAAATCAAACTATTGTGCCATGTGCTCTGCATGAGAACAGCTGTTTGTGTATCTGCCTTTATAGCAAGTAGACCAAAAGGAATAACAGAAATTTCACTAGGTTTTGCAACAGTTAAAAACTCTATTTTAAGCACTAATATTTCAAATGTTAGCATCGGGGAATGCTATGAATATTATACTCCAGTGGTCTAATTGGCCAGAGGCATCATTTGTGGTTTTCTACTTGTCTTCCACTCAATATTATGATCTTTCTCTATCTTGTAGACATCTCTTAGTAAGCTTCTGGAAACGCTGGGGAAGGCGGAACCATTTTTCATCCGATGCCTCCGTTCTAATGCTGAGAAGGTGCATATGAAACGTCATTGTTCAAGTTGATCTTGATTTTAAGTTCATCAATCTATTTCTTTTTCATGTAGATTCCTGGTCTTGTTTTGAACTGTTCATCTATGCGCAAAATCTTTGATATGAGATGTAATTTTTTTTTTCTGATGTTCAGAAGGAAATGTGTTTTGATGAAGCACTCGTTGTGCAGCAGCTGCGGTACACAGGCATGTTGGAAACAGTGCGCATCAGACGGTCAGGTTATGGAGCCAAATACACCTTTCAGGTAATGACCTAATGAACCGCTAATCCTAAAAATGTATCTAAGTGTGTAATTTGGTTGTCCAAAAAAACAAAGCTGGTTTTCTGTATTATAGGAGTTTACTGAGCAGTTTCGTGTGTTGCTGCCAAAGAAGGCTAAGTCCCTGGAGGACATATCATCTCTATTGCACAGGCTTGGCTTTGACCACACTACCTACCAGATTGGGAAAACCAAGGTCGGCATTTTTCCTAGGAACCCTATAGGGGGTTTAATCGACAACTTTTCTAGTTTTGGTCTTTTGAACTGTTATCTCTGGTAACATTTTTTTTCTACAGGTGTATCTCAAAGAGCTCGAAAGGCAAAAGCTTCAGGACATCCTCCACAAGGACGTCGTGCGCAAAATCATTTTCTTGCAGCGCTGGTTTAGAGCTAAAATGCAGAGGATGGAGTTTATTAGAATGAGAGAGGCAGCCATCTTAATCCAGGTATGTCAAAATTGGTTTTGTGTTTGGGCAGTATTCTTGCAGTCTGATATTTGATTTGATTGACTTTGTCTGCAGCGCTCATGGCGCAGCTACCGCAAAGAGAAGTTCTACCAAGCAGCGGTTCTGATCCAGTCAGCATGGCGAGGTTCCAAACAGAGAGCTGAATATCGAAAAACACAAGCATCCGTCACAAAGATACAGGCACTTGCAAGAGGGCATTCGGCTCGCAAACGGTATAGACATCACACAAATTAACAAGAAATCGAAAGCAAATGTATTTACTTTCATAATGCACATTGTTGGCTTATTGGGCATGATTTGGTAAGTTTTGGATTGGGTCTTGTTAGGTACTACTCCCTAAAGGAAGAGAAGAGGAAAAGAGAGGAAGAGGAAGCTCGGAAAAGAAAAGAGGCAGCTCGACGAGCCAAGGAGGCAGAAGAGGCTGCTAGGCGAGCTAAAGAGGCTGAGGAGGCAGCCAGACGAATAAGAGAGGAAGAAGAGGCAGCCAGGCGTGCCAGAGAGGAAGAGGAAGCAGCTAGAAGACAGAAAGAGCAAGAAGAAGAGGCAGCTCGGCTTGCTTTAGAGACTGAGCGGAAGGCTGCAGAGCAGCAGGAGAAGACGCCACTACAACAACCAACGGCACCAGGCAAGCAGTCTGACGATGTGGAGACACTAGTGCTGGAGCGCAATAAGGCTGCTGTGGATGTTGAGATTGAAGGTAAGGGCAGGGCCCAATTTGATGTCTCAAAAGACCAAAATCGTTCTGAGAAGTTTCCTCAAGTGGAGGCTGGTCCTCACCCTGAGGTTAAAGAACACCAGAAGCAAAAGGAAAATGGATCTTCTGCACATCCCAGAGAGGAAGGTACACATGCTAAACCCACGTCTCCTGAAATCCCAACCGGACAAAGCCAAAACAGAGCTCCTTCGCTCTCCAAACTTCCAGCATACAGAAGTCAGGAGAAACGGGAGCTTAGGAGACAACGTGGCCTAGAGCACAACCAGAGAGAAAGTGAACGAGCAGCTTCGGCTGGAAAAGATGATACTTCCTTCAAGAGTAAAACTCCAGAGAGTCCAGGAAAAGCAGATGGCAAGTTGAAGGAACGGTCCGACAGCAAAGAGTTGGATCAGTACACCTTTGTGGCTTGGAAAGTAGACAAGACGAAGAGGGATGCCAAAGATGTCTCACCTGACCTTGTTCGACCTTCCACCTTACCCTTAGATATCCCTACTTCAGGACCTGGAAGAAATGGCTATACTGACCCGTCCATTGCTGCTCAACCTGCTCTTGCCAAAGAAGAGGCCAACAGGAAAAAAGAACCATCAAGAAGCAACACTCAACCAGAAAACCTCATAGCAGGACCCCGCAGTCTGGAGGACAGGCACATCAAAAGTCTCCAGTATGGTTTCTTATGTTCTCCTTGTATATCTTTTTTCATCTCCTTATATGATTCTGACAATATCTTCTATCTGGTTTTCCCAACTTTACCAGGAATCGTGGGATCTCTATGTCACTAGACGATGTGTCCAAAATAGGTTTGGGCGGTACATCACAGGTAACGACTTGATTTTAACTTAACACAATGGTAAACATGAAGGAATACATTAATTTTTGTGCCTTGAAGTTTGTTTGACTGGTTAAGTTCCACTGCACGCTTCCCATTGGTATGCAATCTGCTGTTCTCATTACATTTGGTAATTTAGGACTGTTATTTAAACAGTCGCTTGAGTTTTAGTGATCATGCTTCTCTGGCTGATTCAGGGCAAACCTCGTCAAAGACGCAGGCCACGGCTCGCACTTGCACGTATATGTTTGCCCATTAAAAGTGTTGAAATGGAGGATGCAGAGTACTGGACTTTTCCTTTGCCCCCCATGAGTCCATTCGAGGTGGTGTATTGCAGCCTTAAATTAGATGCTGTCCTGGGATCTGTGGTGTGGGGGCTGCTGGTGGATTAACCGCTTGGAATCCTGGGAGGGATTGCAGATATCTTTAACTTGTGCTAAGGAAAAAGAAATTATACTGCTGCAGAGTGAAGGCCTTTAGTCTGTTTGTTATCCAATATGCACAGTTTTCAGACGCACTTGCAGAATTTCAAATACTGTGTTGTACTGACCTATTGTCATGCCAACACATTAGAGCTTGCTCTGATTGGCTAAAACTTCCTTCACTGTGAATTCTGAAAGCTCAATGGCCTTTAAAACTGGATTTACGGGATAACAAACTGAAATCTCAAAATGCAATGGCAGACAATTCCTGGTTTATTTCTTCTGTTTTTCCAACCATTCTTGATTCTTTTTCAAGAAAATAATGATTGTACTTTTTAATTACTCAGTTTGGGATAAATAAAGGGAGGCATTGACCCACTTCAGCTTCATTTAAGGTGCTATCTACACAGGAAGAAGGAACTTTCTCCTTGTCAGTTTGACAGGCTACTCATTATGCCATTGTTATCTAATCAGCAGAAACGGTTACGTTACTGTACACTACACTTGTGCTGCTTAAAACTAAAACATTTGCTGTGTTCATAAATTTTGGTGTAGACACATTCCAGCACTGAGGTTGGTCCTGATAGATCGAAGGCCAGCACATTGAAGGAAAAAGTTCATGACACTCACAGCCTGCAAGATGCATCACCTTTCCAGCCGTTGACCCCAGAGAGGTACTGTCCAACTTACCGGTGTTACCAGTTTAACTCCCTCATGTTATAGTCAAACTGTTGCTTAGCCCAGAAAAAATAGATTGTATCCCAATAAATTGATCCCTTGAGAATGTTATGCATACTTGCGTTGTGTTATGACTTGCATTTTTGACATATTTCATAATGCAACAATACATGAAATTGAGCATAGCTAAAAACTTACTTTCACATATTTGCATAGAGTATGTTTCAGGCCTTATCTGCAAGACTGTCTAGCTCAAAAATAAAGAGCTTATTGACTCATCCAACACTTTGAACCCCAATGCACAGTCTTATCTGTACTAGAATGTGGTTACACAGGAAATCTGACTAATTGGGACTCATGGGAAAGTACGGCCCCTGGCTTACATCAGCAGTGCCTACACTTACGTCTGACTCCTGGCATAGGTTACAGACTCCCATATATAGATGCAAAGCATCTGCTATGAGAGAAGGGAGATTCCTGAAATTCCATAATCTGTGTGAAGGTGTGCAATCTCAGTGTGTTTTGACAGTGAAATCCCTTGCCTAATGGGATCTCCCAGCACGCTATGCTTCTGTTTTGCTAGGATATTAATAATAAAATACAAAACTCGCCACAACTAACTTTATGCAATGGTGCATTTTTCTACAATAGGACAACAGGGTTTTTCAGAAAGATCCTGAAGAAGCGTCCACATAAAGAAGCTCACACCCCGGAAGATGGAGACCTGAGCCTAGCTTCCTATTTGGATCAAAAAGAAGGTACATACTGCAAAGACAGCATGTGGTTCTTTTAGATTATAATACTTTTCCTTCATTTATTGTTTTTTTGTTATTGTTTTTGATAGCCACTTCTCCATCACACTCGCACAATTCAAAGCTTCATGCGAGTCGACCCGCTCGGACACCCAGCATCATGATCAGTCACTCAACAACTCGGGCTTCTGAACAATGTAACTCATCACTGAACCGCGTGATCACCAATGCGAATGAGCTACGCCACCTTGATGAGTTCCTGGGCAATCAGGTGTGAAGAATGGATAGGACTACAAGATATTCAACTTTACAAAAAAACCTGTTAGACGTGTTAAATCGTGTCTATAATGTATGCAATTTCTGACAAGCTTTGCATTCTCTCAGACTTATTCTTTCTCTTATGCGGTGTAGGTGAACGATCTACGCTCACGGGGAAAGCAGCTTTCAGGAACAGAGCACATCTTCATTACTGCCACTATGCAGTTTAGAGAAAACATCAAGGGGATGTACTCATTCTCTGTGAGTAGATTTAATGCAACACTCCGTATAAAACTTCTGTATAGACCAAATAAGCTGTGTCCTATCCAGCTGTGATGCAACTTGAATTTCATGAACAAGTTGCATTGTGGGCATTAAAAGAAACTTGTAGTTCATGTTATTCATTTCTTCTTCTTCACCAACAGAAACCACAAATTGGGTATAAGGCTTTGATGAATAGCTACCACAAAAAAGTGATCAGTCTAGCAGGAGAAAAGCAGAAAGGTGAGGTACCACTGGTGGTCAATCTCTTCCAGTCAGTTCTGGATGGCTTCATCAGAGCGGAGATCAAAAAAGAAGAGGCCGAACCAGCCAAGGTAAAAGTTCATGCATGCCTTGTTACCCTCTAGACTTAATTATCTGATGAAAATGGCATTTGTTATTGATAACTTGAATGCATGTAATCCTTTTGACTTAACTTGGGTAAAATCTGTTTCAGCCACCCAAAAGTCGCAAGATGAGAAGAAAGAAGGATAAGAGCGTAAGTATCTCTGTCCAACAGTCCATCCATTCATACTGACTCTGCCTTGTGAATTGTGAAGAAATGTACACATTTTGTCTGGATTTAGTTGGAGAATCCATTGGACCATGTGTTTACACACTACCAAGTCAACATCATGCAGTCTTGTGATCAGTGCACCTCCTACATCTGGGGTATGGAGAAGGCCTACATGTGCAGTTGTAAGTTGATGCGTCTCCTATTCATTTGCCTTCATTCAGGCTGAGAACATTGTATGATGATTCATTTTTGTTTCAGATTGCAAAATGGTTTGCCATAAGAAGTGCATTTGTAAAATCGTCATAGGCTGCTCTATGTTCTGCTCCAAGAAGGTAAGAATCCAATCTTCTAAGCATTCTGGAGAAGCGGTCATTTCGAAATCTTGTTCAATTGTCGATCTTTGTGTGCTGTGGGTCTAGTGTGATGATGAGCCTGGATCACAACACTTCGGTGTGCGCGTGTGCCACCTGGTCAACAACAAGACCCCTGTGCCAATTGTGCTGGAGATAATGCTGGAACACGTGGAAATGAACGGACTGTACACAGAGGGCATTTACAGGAAGTCCGGCTCAGCCAATCGCATGAAGGAGCTACACCAGTTGTTGGAAGCAGGTGAGCCATCATGGATATTTCCAGAGCTCAATGGCACATTGGGAAGACAACCTCTCTGTCTCTGACTTTTTTGTAGCTTAACCTGCCCACTCTGATAACTGTTAAATAACCTTGTGTAATGACTGCATGTTTGTATAGGCCCAGAGAATGTTTGTCTTGAGGATTACCCCATCCATGCCGTCACTGGCCTGGTCAAACAGTGGCTAAGGGAGTTGCCTGAACCTCTCATGACCTTCACGCACTACAACGACTTCCTCCGTGCAATAGGTCGGTCCCCACAATGCCATTCTCCTGTCCTTTTGGTAGCCCTTAGACATGCTGTAACTCTTTTGTTGTCTTTTATAGAACTGCCTGAGAAGCAAGAGCAATTGCAAGCCATTTACAAAGTTTTGGAACAGCTTCCAACAGCCAACTTCAACACCTTGGAGAGACTCATTTTCCATCTTGTCAGGTACAGATGAGTACATGCAGTCCGTAACAAACGCTGTTCGTGCAAAACCATGTAGCCGTCAACGTAACGATCTGGTGTCATTTCAGGGTTGCGAAGGAGGAGAAGAGCAATCGGATGACGCCAAACTCTCTGGCCATCGTTTTTGCTCCCTGCATTCTCCGCTGTCCGGACAGCGCCGACCCGCTCATGAGCATGAAAGACGTCGCCAAAACCACCACGTAAGGACTTCATGTCCACACTGCAAGTTAGAGAGCTCTTTTAAAGTGAATGAAGTCTCAAGACTGAACCTTTACATTCCTCAGTTGTGTGGAGATGCTACTTAACGAACAAATCCGGAGATACAATGAGAGAATGGAGGAGATCGAGCAGCTGGAATACGCTGAGGCACTGGCTGTCAATCAGCTCAAGCTAAAAAGACAAAACACGGTACACTTGACCTTCCTCGACTTACCTGTCCTTTAGCAGAAAGTCTTCTAGCATTGCTGTATCATTATTTGAAAGTGGTTTGTTTCCAGATGCCTGTGAAAAATGTCCATATTTTGCCTCCTGAACAATCACTTTTTCCAACAGTCCGCAACCTTCCACAAGGCACCTACAGAGAGTAATTTTCGCAACACTTTTTTGCTTCTCGTTTTTATGTTTCTGTAGTGCTGGCATTTACCTCTCAGATTTATCACTCCTTACAAAGAAGTAGCGGTACGTATGTCCCTGTGGTATTGTGAACCCCAGTAGTTTGGCATGTTCATGCATCCAGTGTGCATGCAGTGTACAAGTCATGCCTCACTAATACTAACTCAATCCACTGCATGTGTTAGTGTTATTTTAGATCTGTAGACATTTAGACCTGTAGACAGGGGTGTCGGGTGGATGTCGGTGTAAATGTGTGCTGGTTTTGGGTGGTCATTGCCGTGAATGGCATGAATTTCAAAGCTACGCAAAGTAAATTGCTGAATATTAAACAATAGGGGCATTCTGTGATAATGCAGAATAATGCAGAAAGATAAGCAGTCAGGTTTGACTGTTAATCTTTGTTTTTGACTTCTACAAACCTTTGAAACTCATGCCATGGAAACTCCACAATGAAATATAACATCCATCCAAGTGGTTGAAATTCTTTCCCAGTAGACCTTTTCTCTTCCTCTAGACTTGACTCACCTTTGAAACATCTCTAGCACTCCTCATTTTCACTCCACAAGGGATTGTTGTGCCACACTTGAAGAATTACAACTTCCCCCTTTTTACTTCATAGACTAACCACATGGGGGCAGACTTGAGTCCAATGAAAATGTTTAGTACTGTAGTCCCTTCACTGAAGAACCTTTCTGTGTTTCCTTTTTTGAGGCAACACGGGAAAAAGCTTGAATCTGTCGATCTCCTCTTGAGTTGAAGTTTGTATCTGTTTGGAGTCTAGGTTCGGGAGAAGCCAGCTTCCGACCTTTGTGCTGTACCTGAGAATGAGCCCCTGGATTCAGATACAGAAGCTGAGCGAAGCCTGGTGGAGCGGATCAAGTCCATCAAGCAGGAAAAGTATGTAAATGTAGAAGAAATCTCACAAGTAGTCTCAGGACCACACTCTTGAATGCCTTTTTATGGTTTATGTTCCAGAGAGGACCTTGCCTGCAGGCTACCTGAACTAGAACAGCCTGGTTCTGACCAGGAGAACCTGGACTCGGAGGCATCAGTCAGCTCTGAGAGCCTTTTGGACGAGCGAGCGGTCTGTTCGGACACGGAAGGTCAGTATTAAGGTACATACTCCCTTTGTTTTGGACCAGTCCTTTGTTTTTCCTCTGCAGTAGTCACCCATGTGTGGGTCCTGTCCTTGTTGTGTGTGGCGCAGGTCTGGATGGGATGCTCCTGGCACATTTAAAGAGGGTGGCGGTGCCATCCGCTCTGTAGCAGGTTGTGATCTCATCTAACCCCACGTGTCTGTTATGTGCATGGTTGCGGTGATGGAATAAGACACTGCATGTTGTCTTTCTTTTATGACTGTTGGTGGCATGTCTTAGGTTCAGCTTTGGGCTTTCTCCTGCTTCGGGGGTTGATTGGTTCTGTTTCCCTATTGTAGGACAAACAATCGTAGTGCCAAGATTATCCAAACCAGCTTGCCTTCCTAAGTCTGTCACCCTGGCCCATGGAGGCAGCACATGGGCTGACGGCCCCTCTCTTCCTTCACTGTCTTCTCCCAGGCTTCAGCTCCAGCGTCGCCACCCTATCATCCCCAAAACGGTCAAGCTGCCCCCAGGAGTCTTGTGCCACCCGGCTGTACAGTCCCTCCCTGCCCGCAAAGCCCAGTCCCTCACCCTCGTCCAGCGGCGCGAGCAGCCCGGCCGCCGCAAAGACAGCATCCAGTCCCTCTACATCACCGCTGGAACAGAGCTCCTCTTCCCGCCCTCACCTACAACCTCAGACACCTCCAGCGCACAGGAGCTCCAAACCTCCTCCCGACGTTTCTCGGACCCGGACATTGCTTTCGTAAAGGACGAGATTTGACGTGCAAAGCTGCCTGCTCTCGAAAGAACAATTCGATTGGTTGTTGTCATGGGTGCTGACTGCTTGCCCCGGTCGTAGTGACTGATAAAGAGAATTGTCTCACCTAGCACTTTTCCATACTAATAATATATTGGATTTTTAAAGAGACTTTTTTTAAGACTCAGATTTGTGTTGCATATAGGCATTGACATGCGTCAATGCTTGATTTTTTTTTTTTGGACTTTTCAAGAAAACAGTCTTGCACCTTTTGTGTCTTCAACGAACAGGAAAAAACTAATTCAACCATGAGGAGTGATACCTTGATGGTGTTTTGTGGATGGAGTTATTTGTACAACCAAGGCTTCGTTCATCTTAAATTTACTTTTAAGCTGTAGATCCTCTATCAATTCCTGTACAAGAACTCAATGGACAAGTTTTGACTGTAGGAGGATGGATCCAGCACTAGCCACTTTCCTCTCGGACCAGAATGCCATAACCGAATGCAATTTTCCAGAATAACTCAGAACTCTCTTTTTTCCATTTTGATAAACGATATGACACTTTGGATCTGCGTGGATGTCTATTCAGAATAGGTTTGTGTAGGACTAAATACAGTTAGTGGCCAAGCCATTGTGTTTAATACTAAAGTCAAGAGTTACGAATGCTGTTGAATGAAAAGTATGGAACGAATGCCAGCTGGATGTCTATGATGTAAATTACATTTTGCATCACGAGGACCGTATGTGCCTACTAGTATCGCTGTTTTTGAGTCCTCCGTGACATCGTTTTTTTGCATTTAATGGAGAAATGAAACTAATTATTTTCCTACAATACAGTTTGTACTGGCCGCAAACCTGTGTGCTTTTCCTGTTTCTTACCCATAATTCTTTCTGGCTTCCTTTTTGCTCCAGAGGTACCATTGACCATCTATTATTGCTTTTCTTGTTCTACAATAATCTTAAATATCACCTTTAAATGAATGAGGACAGAACATCAATTTATGAACACAAAAATTGTTCATTCATTATAGATTTCTTATAAATCGTGTTTTATGAAACAAGTGTTTTTAGTCGTCATTTTAATACAAAGTTCAGTTGCTGTGGGTAGTGTGAAAAAGATCAGTAGTATAATTAATTTGAAGGGGTCATATGATGCGATTTCAAGTTTTCGTTTCTCTTTGGAGTGTTACAAGCTGATTGTGCATAGATAAGAATAATGATCTTTAAAAAAGCATCATATGACCCCTTTAAGTTACAAACAAGCAACACTTAGGCCGTTTCTCAAACGTAAGGCTGCATCCCCTGGAGGTCGCATTTGTAGGCTGCATACGTCATAAAGAAGTTCTTATTTTAGAATATTAACAGTTATAAATTTGACCATTATTCTTAGTTAAGCGTAAATTGTTGTAATATGCTTATGACTCGCGAATGTAATGCTCAGTTAAATTAAATAAACCAGGCTACCACCTAGTGGCCTGGAGTGTGAAGTGCAGAAGAGCAGCATGTCCACTGCGGTTTTACTGTAAAATCACTGAAATATCTGGATGTTTTGCACTAAAATGGTTCCTCTGAGGAAACGTTTGAAAATGATGACACGATTTTCTTTTCTTTCTCCTCTTTAGGAAATTGATGACGTATTCAGCCTGCAAATGCAACCTCCGGAGGATGCAGCCTTCCCTTTGAGAAACGGCCAAAAATGAGTGCCTCTCCAGTCTGTATGTTATGTTATATCAGATATATATCTGTGAATCAGTGGTCTAGTTTGCTCTGTGCTCCAGTGACAATAAGAATGTCCAGAAAGTCCTGTTCAAATAAAGTGCAGAATCAATCCGGATAAAGCTATTAGGAGGTGCAGAGTCCTTCCCAGCCTTATTCCTGTACCATGGCTTCTTATTTGAACTGCTGCATATTTGGGTAATGGTAGTTCTGTTAAAGCAAACAAAAAAAACAAAACAAAAATATATATATATATATATATATATATATACACACACAAGTATAAAAATTAGAAGTAAATCCTCATAAAACTATGAATATGCAGTGAGCAAAATATGTGCACTGTCTGGCACGCAAAAATATAACACTGTAGAACATGTTTGACTATTTAGAACTACTCTGATTAGATTACAAGCACACAGAAACTTAAAATGCATAACATTAGGAGATTTTACAACACACCTTTGACCACCAGTTGTGTGCTGTGATCAATTCCCAAAGCTGGGACAAAGCAGAGATACGTTCCTCCATCAGAGAGCTGAAGATCGGTGAGTCTGAGAAAGACATGACCCTTCTTAAGTAAAACTTCTGTTCTGTTCTTGTATGCTGGGTCTTGTTCCTTTACAGAAACATTTCCATGGATAATATCGAATACATTCCTGGTGTCGTTGTGTCTCCAGTGGACTGTCAGCTGTTTTTCTTCAAGCACAATACGTCTGTGACTGCACTTCAAGATGACAGAGCTTCCTTCAGTGCCTTCAACTACCTGATGCAGAGAGGCTAGAAAACAGGACTTCTTCAGTTTCACATAACTTAATTCGTTCACTAATATTATACAGTGGTGTCCAAAAGCTTGAAACCACACTTTTTTTCTCCTGAATACTTTTTAAATGTCTAGGTCTGTAGCAAAAATAAAGTGTGACACTGATCATGTGACTCTTCGAACAGTCAGATTTCCATCCACTGAATTGCAAGATGCTCTTTGGAACATCTCAAATCATGCTGGAAATGTTTTGCTGATCATTTATAATAAAAAAATTGTATTATAATATGAAATCATGTTTGCTCTGTGCTCACCTGTATCTATTAACAGTGCCAACAGATAGATGAAACGGAACCTGAAAACCATGAAGGAACATTTAAAAAAAGAATATCCTCAGTAACGTCAAGTCCAAAATAAAGAAATAAATGTTTTGCCATCATAAAAAAAAAAATAAATAAATAAAACCTCAATGCTATCCTGTCATACAGCCACAGTAGATGGAAGTAAATTTCAAATAACTTTTTCCTACACTTGATTGGCCGGTTTTTTTTTTTTTTTTTTTACACCAAACGGCTGTGATTGGTCCAGACATGTGAACTGACATGAACTGGGTTCGCTAGTGTCGTTGTTTTAATCACACCTGTCAATGACAATTCTGAATTATTTCATTTTAAAATGTGATTATTAACTTCCAATGACAGAGTTAAATGGCGGATTTTCTATTGCATAAATAAACAAAATGAGGGTCATTCTATCCCACATTGCGTATTAAACATACGTTGTTACATATTGACACGTGTCATAATTTCCAAATCTCACGAGTACATTGTACACTAAAAATTAATAATGATAGACTGTTATTGTCTAGACTGTATTAAACTCTGCATAGTGCGGTTTAAATGGAAAGAGCCGCCTTACCGTCGGTACATGTTGTAGTCTACTGTATGTAAGGGTTATGCTCCGAATAAACCGTCAAAAAACATTCCTCTGCTTCTTATCTCAAGAAATTCAAAATGCGCGCCTGTCTTACTTTTGTTTTGTTTCTCCGCCTCTAGTCTAACGTGAGTTGGTAGGAGGGGCAATACAGTGCTGCCTAACGTTTATGATCGATCGACACATCAACTAGCCTAAATAACATGCTTCCTAGTAGGCTATACTCGACCAAACTTATTTGTATTAAATTAAAGCAGCACTATGTAACTTTTTCTGTGTTCAAAATTTGCAAAATGTATATATAATAACTTTTCAGAATGTGACCCCGCCGTCATAAATGTGAGACTTGTTGCAAGTTGAATTGTTTTCATCTTCTCAGTAAACAGTTTCTGAAGTTAGCCATGTTTAAAGGACAATGTTTTCTAAAAGCTGAAAGAAGCTGATCTGTTTCTTTCCATTGCCCATTGCTCATTTTCTTATAAAGTTTTTTTTTTATTAATTAATTTATTTATAGCCTACATCAGGGATCCTCAAATCTGGCCCACGAGATCCACTTTCCTGCAGAGTTTAGCTCTAACCCTAATCAAACACACCCGAGCATGCTAATCAATGTCTTCAGGATCATTAGAAAATCACAGGTAGGTGAGTTTGATCAGGGTTGGAGCTAAACTCTGCAGCGCATTGGCCCTCCAGGGCAAGATTTGAGGAACCTGGCCTACATGAATTGTATTTTTAAAAGGACAATTCAATTAGATTTTCAGTTCAGCACATAATCATACAAACAACCAGCACATATTTCTTTAAAAATGTGTGCTCTTTGCATGGAAGAAGGTCCAAACAAATATATTAAATCTAGCTTAAGTAGCATGAAAATAAAATACAACTTACAAATCTGTACAAAATGTTTTATATTTATTTAAAAATATTTTATACATACAGATATAAAAAGCCTGAAAATATTAAACGATTACAGTTGATTTGATTTTCAGCAGCAAGTTATAATCATCTGGTAATGTATTTTCTTACCCCAGATTCACTTTTTCTTTGGAAAACGAAATATCCTGCTGTTTGTTTATTATATAGCCTATAGACCAATTATCCCAGTTGAAAAAAACAGCATATGCTGGTTAGGTATGTTTTGGATGCTGGTCCTTTGCTGGTTTATGCTGGTCATGTGCTGGCAAAGGACCAGCATAAACTAGCAAAGTACCAGCATAAACCAGCAAAGGACCAGTTTAAACCAGCAAAAGGACCAG